AGCAAAAGTATATTTTGATGTCAATCAAGGAATTGTTGCAAAAAAGGGATAGAGGCATATCGATCTGAATATTATGTAAAAAGTATGGCACTGGAAAAACAGGAAAACAAAAGAAAGTTTTGATAATTCTGACACCTCACTTGCAATGATAACAGAAAAATCATTCATTATGCCAAAAGTGACGACTAAAAGGATGAGAAAGCATAGTAGCAGCAGCACACCATTGATGGGTCCAATGCTAAAGGTTCAAGCTAAACTATTTCATGAGGAAATAGACTTAAAAATGAGTTCACATATTCAACAGTTAGATAACCAAATTTAAAAATCACAATGATATAAGATGATAAAAAATTTCAGGCAAAAATAATTCAAGCTTGAGCTGATTTTGAGGCAGCTAAACACTTTGCATAGAAATTCTTTAAAATCATTAATAGTGAACAGTTATCTCTGAAAGAAATTCATGATGCTGATGAAACTGGTCTTTCCTAGTAATAAATGTTCCAATATTCCTTCAAATAAAACAGTATGGATGACACAGATATTAATGCATGATTGGTTTGAAAATCATTTCATACATGAGGCTTGGCAACTTTGTAATCGGTTAGTTTACCGGATGATGCAAAATTTGTCCTAACCACTCGGCTTACACCTGACTTAAGAGTTTTAGTAACAGATCATGTTTTTGTCTTATTCTTGCAACCAAACTGCTTGTCCATTATTTCAACCAATGGATATCAAAGGTCTGCGCAGTAGTCTTTTTAAAATTTGTGCTCACTTTTTTTAACAGTGACAAGACCATTCAAGAATTTAAAGAGTATTTCAACATAAAATCTACTGTGTACAGCATTACAGGGTCATGAGAGAACATGTCTGCAGATATTTAAAAAAGTGTTCAGCATAATTTATGGACAGGTATCAAATTTCATAGCGACAAAGATAGCTATGAAACTGAAGGTTTTATAATGTGACAAGCAAATGGAAAAATTTTGATATTAATGGAATTTGAAAAGAAATGTAAAGTGATAATAAATGAAGATGATATAACAGAAGTTTTCTATTATGATGACAATGTTCCAATCATCAATAAACTAATGGATGGTTAGTTGTATCTCAGTTCAGAAAATACGAGTTAGTGCAAAAAATGGAGCAGCTGATCTATAAGAAAGTATTAAAAAATGAAAGAGCTTAAATACCTTACACTGAAAGAACTGTTTAACAAAACAACAAACAAATATGAAGCTTCTTTAGTAAATTTTGATCCCCTTTAAGTTCATAAATGCTTCAATATTTCATAAAAACTATTACATATTTTTTACTTTATAATTTCTATATATATTATCTTAATAGCTTTAAAATGATTATCTAAAATTTGGAGATTTCCAAAATCAATGAAGTCTTGATGATGGATTTCAGACTTCATACTATACAAGTATTACTGTGTAAAGTTAAAATCTTAGAGAAGTCTCATAAAACTTGTAAATGATAGTTCTTCATTTTTAAATATTTTGGCTAGTTTAGGCTACAACTAAATATTACATCTTATTTGAGATAGAAATATCACTTTTCCAAGAGGAGGGGAAGTAATTTTACAAAGTTAAAAAATCAAGATTACTGCACTAAATTATATTAATATAATAAAACACACACTTCCGTACAACGCACATTATTGAAGCATAACTAAATATTTAAGATAAAAAACCCCTAAATAAAAAAAAAAAAAAAAAAAAAAAAAAAAAAAAAAGGGGGGGGATATACAGAAACAAGAATTTCAGTTTCTAAGATAAATATATAAGGGGGAATGTAATAATAATAGTCTGTGTGCATTTGAAATGAATGAAGGATTGTTAGTGGTGCCATATGTTAAGGTGAATACTGAATGATGTCTGAAACATCAATTCAGAATTTAGAGTCAAACACAGCAACAGCAGTTTTGACAGGATTGCATGTGTTGACAGTCTGTAATCTGTAAACTGCAGTTTTGGTATCACAAACCATGACAGCAAAACTATGGTTGCATTCTGCGAACAAATCAAAAATCTGTTCTCCGTTTAAAAGCGTTGCCGCCATTTCTTAGTGCAGCAGCATGATATGTGATCGGTGGTATGTCTGTATTCAATGCAATGAGAAGCATCCATGACCTGAATTCGAGAGCATTAAGGAATAAATATCGCGGCCGAGATCAGCTAAGGGATATGCAGGCAGGCCCCTGTGCTTTGTAGGGATGTGGGCAAGCTCTTGTACATTGACAGATATGTGAGCAAACCCCAGTTTACTAAAAGGCTCTTACCTTTTAGTCAACTGGGGTAACAACTTTTGTAAGATACAACTTCCTAACAGCTGAATGTGTAGCCATTGCTATCAATGTGTAATAGCAGGCTATACGAGTTTGATATTAATAAAGCATTCAAGATTTGAAATTCTTTATGATTTAGATTTACTGCCTTGTTCAGTATGATGGTTAATGGTACCAGCTATTGTTAGATGCGAGTTTAAACCTCAAAAAAGCTATAGATATATGTAATTGTCTATCTCCTTTTTTGGTGAGTAAAGTGTGTATTCTACCATCTGGTCGACTCTGGATAACATTATCAGTGATGAGACAATAAAATGATAGGTGAGTTTGACCATTCTGCCTTAATGGGCAAGTATCAATCATTGAGAGCTGAAAGTTAGAGAGAAGGATGGATTCAAATGTGAATTCAAGAATATCCATATTTCATACTATCTATAATTCAAATTAATTGAAACAAAACACTTCCTATGAAAATATGACAAACATGTGATATTTGCTCTATTAAATATTAAAATATGCATGCCAGGCAGATATAAAAATTTAAGACAGATTCAAACAGTTATAAGTAGAAATTGAAAACGCACAGCCAAATATAAAATACTGAAGGTCCAGCCAAATACATATATAATTATCTATTTGTACAGCTTTTTGTGAAGCTGATATTAAGGAAAGGCATTTCTATACACAATATATATGAAACCAAACAATTATTCTGTACTGAAGTACGTAACATGCGATATTAAAAATATTTTATTCATCATAATAATGGGGCAAATATATATAGATATTATCAACTATATGGAACTGTATATATAAAATTACTGAAATAAAATGTTATTAATAATGTCATCTATCAATATACAAGAACTTGCTCACATATCTACAAAAAACAAGGGCCTGCTTGCATATCCATTACCTCACCTAGGCTGAGATATTTGTTCCTTAATACACTGGAATGCTTCTCACTGCAGTGGATTCAAACACACTACTGATTACATATCATGCTGCTACACTAAGACAGGGGCGTAGCTAGAGGGGGGCAAGGGGGGCATCTGTCCCCGGGCGCAGAATCCAAGGGGCGCCAAATTGATGTTACGACATTTTAGAATTAAATGTTTTCCATCCTTGGCAAGCAGTAGGGGGCGCGAAATCTTCAGTTGTCCCTGGGTGCTGAAAACCCTAGCTACGACTCTGCACTAAGAATATTCTAGCAACACTTTGAAACTGAGAACAGATTTTTTTTATTTATCTGCAGAACACAACTGTAGTTTTAGTATCATGGTTTATATCAACAAATGACAGTTCCATGTTTGATGCTACTCTGAATCAATGTTTCAAACATCGTACAGTATTCAACTTAACATAAGAATCATTATCAAGAATACATTTATTCATTTGAAATTGCTGGGTTTCTTAAGCAGTTGTAATTATAATTTGAAAGGCAAATTAAACATTTTACACCAAGCTGAATGACAATACTGAAAACTATCGTTTTGCCAGACATATGGAAGATGAAGATCCCACGTCTCTTTGAATTGCAATATGTGGCAGGTTACATGATACCCTTGCAGCTTGCTTATGTACCTTGCTTACGTGATAGTACCTCATAATGCAACAATTTAAAATATTGGAAAAGCTTTCCTAGACATTTTTATGTTATCAAATCTTCTTTACATTTCTCTAATGTATGTATTCTGTATGATAAAACTTGATATTTTCTCTGCTAAAATCTGTTTTCTTATTTAAGGCAGGCTAAATAATTTTTGTATGTATATCAGTTTTCAAATCTGTCAAATGAGTATTTAATATAGCATATAATAACATGTTGAAAATTTTCTTCAAATATAAGCAATTGCTAGTTATCTAAAAGAACTGTTTCTAACAAATATTAGAATTAATTAAACCTAGCAAATTTTTCTCCCCCTTATAAATTCATAGAAGTCTTACTTTTCATTCCATTAAAAAATATGCAACTTTGTTACTTATAAGCATATTAATTATCATTAAAATTAGCTAAAAGCATTCTATATTTTTATAAATGTAATATAAACATCAGTAAATGTGAATTTTATAATTTTAAATAGCATTAAGGCTGATGAAATTGTAAGGAAAATTTCAGTTTAAAATTGTGGTTATTTTATGTTCTTTGTAATAAGAGTTATTAATTACTAGCAAACCATTATCTAGCAAAGTATATAATGGTTATCTCTTTGAAATTTGTCTCAATTTCAGTCCAGATACCAGTCAGCATACCAGATAGAATTGAAGGTTCTCGAAACCTTCTTTTCAATAAGGACTTTCAGATCATCAAATGTTAAGCATCTGTTCTGCAAAGATATAACGGTGTTCATATCTAGTTTAGGATTCAGATACAGACCCAGCAGTGTATGTACAGTCAATCTTTGATAATCACTTTACTATCCAAGGCAACTTTAGTATTATGTATAAAATATGCACTAGCATAGTTTTGAATAAATTATGGAGCGAGATAATGCCAGATCAAGATATTCATAAACTGAAAATAGACAACCGACTCTTATATTAAATATCCATATAAATTTTACAGATGTACGCAGTCTATACATGAACGAAATTTGTACGACAGTCAGCTATAACTAGATTACAAAATACATTTGAACAGTAATTATGATTACTTTCCATAAGATGAAATAAAGAAACATCCAGCAGAATCTTTTATAATTCTTACCTGCTTCTTGATAAAATTCTCCAGATTTCATCTTGAATTTTGAGGACTTGGATGAACAATCATTGATATCATCTTCATAATTTACATTCAAAATATCCAAAATTTCAAAAACACGGTGCGTCAATCCACCAATTTCAGTAATTTGCGATGATAAATCAATTAAGCTAGAGAAACAAGATATCAAATAAATAGAAACAAATGCATTTTTACTAATCAGAGCACTTAGCTCTGGAGGAGTTAAATCATTGTATCTTCCAGAAAATATTGGATATGCAAGGATTAGATAGCTGATGATGCTTCCAAAATAACTAAACACCTTTACAGCTACATTAAGAGGGAACTGTCTTAAATACAATGATTGCTGAATTTTTATCAGCGCAACAAGTTTATTGTCAGAACGTGATAATTCTGCGATATTAGCATCCTGAAATGCAATTGATTCTGCATTTGTACGAACATGCATGTGTTTGAAACGAAAGTTACCTTCACACTTTTCTTGCTGCACGACCTTTGTTACTATTGGTTTCATTAGTAATTTATTAATTACTGCAGAAAGAACAAAAACTAGAAATATTTCTACAGGACCTATCCACCCAGTTGTTTGAAAACAATTATAGGAATAGTAAGAAATCGTAAAAGGAGCTATAACAAAAGGACCGATGATAGAACTAAACTCATGACAAAATTTATCAATATCCTGAGTTATCCTCTGATCAGGATTATCTGTAAAATCATACTTAAAAGTATTCAAAATGTAAAACTTATTACTATTGAAATATAACATATGCAAAGTATTTGTTAAGGCTTCCCTTGACGTTACGTAAAAAACATTTATTATGTAATTTTTACAACTTAGCACAAAACATATAGCTAATATTAAAAGTGTAGCTTTAAGAATCTGCAGCCAAAAAGCATTCAAATCTTTGTCACCAAGAACTTTATAAAAGGCACTAGGAATAATTCCAACATTATACACTAGATACTGTTCTAATAAAGCTAAAAGGCAGATTAAAATTATAAATATAGTACAAAGATGTTCTGAAAAAATTATTTTTAATATAGCCCATAAACGGCGAAGAGTAACCATGCCGAAACTATATGTTTCAGGAGGTGCAGATTCATTTGCGCTGTATAAGCTCAATCTTTCTGTATTATTATCCATTTTGTAAAGTGCTTACTCCTTAGATTTTAAAACTCGATAAATTACAGCTTACTCTCACAAAACCGCATTTCGTAACGCCCACCAGACTGAATATAAACAAAAATCCAATTGTTGCCAATTTATAACGGATAATTTAGGTTCACATGGGGAAAAGAAAGAAACAGGTTCAATTGTTCATTTCAGAAATAAATTAAAACATTTTAAGGGATTATAATACAAATATCAAGAAATATCATCCATATTCAAAATTATAGCACTTAATGGTAAATTTTGGGAGATCTTCAAATCTTAAAACAATTAGAAATGACATCTTGGTACATCCACAGTAATTCATGTGGCAACATAGTAATGTTTGTAAACAATATGGATCCCCAATTCCATATTTTCAATTCGGTTTTCTGGTTATATTTTCTTCTTTATGTTGAAATATGTGTGTATTCCATATAATATTATGCAAAATAATAAAATATTAATATTTATAATATAAACATTAGCAGAATTGCACGTATTGGAAAATGTTGAAATGTTTCATAAATTATTCTTTGCATTTTTATCGGACTTTAATGACAAATTTAAAGGGCCAAATATATGTGTATCATGAAGGTGTGTTTAGAATAAAACCTGCTGTTTTTAAATAGTTAATTTACGAGTAGCAGTAATATAATGAAAATTGAATGTGGTGGGCTCTTGTTTACATCAGATCTTGATTCGGGAAATTTAGACAAAGTAGAGTTTATCGAAACTTCTGGAGACAGGGAAGTAAAAGCTTATGTATCTACTAGTGACAAAGGATTGCCTCCTATTTCTAGTTACAAATATGTTAGACGCCAGAAAGGTTCTTCCGAAACTCCCAAATCGTCTCCTGTGCATATCAAAAAATATATGAAAAGGAAAACTGTTTACCCACAGCTGAAGGGTGCAGTTTCAGCTGAATCAGTTTCTGGATTGAATCAGTTAATTAAGGAGTTCAAATTATGGACTAAACCAGATTGCAGCGGTACTCCTTATCAAACTACATTTAGGTAATATATTTTAGATCAAGACTAATTTTGCTCTGGCTTTATATTGCTTCTTGATTTGTTTATATTATGATTATTCAAATCATATTTTGAGCCTATATAAAAACCTAGTTTGAATGTTCTATGAAATGTTGGGAAATAAGGTATACATTATATGTATTGTTATTTTACACTTTTTAGTGCATTATATTTAGGTTGTAGTTAATATGTTCAAAAGATGAAGATGTGCAAAGCTTGATAACTATTTGTAGTTCAACTTTGCTGATCTTCCCCCCCCCGTGCGTTTATACCATTTGTAGAAGACACTAAGAAATTATAATAATGTTAGAAATTATTTTATCAAAACACACTATGGTCAAATGAAATTCAACATACGGATGCATTTACCATTCTGATTTAAGAAAAGGTAGAGTATTTTAAGAAAAGGTAGTTATTTAGGTTTTAATAGAATCTATGTAAAAAATTAAATATTAAGCAGCCTGATATCTGAAAACGTAGCAACATAGAAATCCTATGCCACAATCTATCCGGTATAGTAAAAAATGAATATATTTCATGTGAAAAGTAATAAATTGCAAATTATTAAGATGGGGAAACAGAATGCTTAAAAATTTTTCCTTCTCATGTATATTTTGATTATTTGGTATTTCACTTTTTTTCCTGCTTAAAAATAAACAAATAAACCAAAAACACACTAATCCCTGTTTATTTATTTACTTACTTTTATATTTATTTTCATGATTATTATGCAATTTGTGTAAAATATGTCAAAACAATTTCAAAGCTTTTCTTATTAGATATTTATTCTGTAACAAAGCATTAAAATTCATACAGGAAACATTTAGTTTACATTCTTGAATTTTATGCATGATGTGACTTATCTGTCTTCAAAACTAATTCAAAGAATGAAATTTTCTTGTTTTTTTTAACCATCAGAAAATTTTAATAAATCATTGATGCAACTAAACTCATTAAATTGGAATTCATGTATTCCTTTAATAAACTAAGTAAGTATTGACTAATTATTAATCTAGTGTAAATTTCTTTCATAGTTTATTCCACTTGTGTTTAGTGAGAAAATATTAATTTGTTGCTGTTGTTGTATCATAGTATTGAACATAAATTTAATCTATTGATGATGAAAATCTATTTTTCAATATATTTTCATTTTTAAAAAATTATTTTTAAAATTTTACCAAGCAATACTGCCTTTCTTAAAACGTCATGTTAATCATTTCAGTTAGTAAATGAGCAAGAGATGTTTGATAATTTATTATGAAGTAGCATTCAGTAAAGATATATATTCACTTACAGTTTGACTGAAAAGCTTTAACTGAATGCAAAGAAAGGAAAAATGGTACTTTCTTGTTATGGCATCCCTTAAGATTGAATGTCTAATCAACCTAAATATTTTGCCGAAATTTTGCCACTCATTCTTTAACCTTGCTACATGTTACATCTTGTTTGATTAGCAATTGAATTTGGGGTGTTGCTATAATAAGGAAGCACTGAAAAAACTTAACAAACTCTGACATTGAGGTAGGAAATAAAACTTCTAATGCCTCATTTGAATAATGTTGGATGTAACTTAGATGCAATAACTGCAATCAATATATGGTGCAAATGCCAATGGGATTGTTTCGTTGTAGCCTACTGTAGCCTCTGTTCAATGTAGCAATGTATACTGAAGAATGATTACAATCCTCATATGATTGTTATGGAATACTCTATACATTAATATTCATAATTGAGTGAGAGAAATTTTGCATTAAAAATTGCAATACATGTTACATATTCAACATATCCGTCCTAGCATTTCTTTGCTTTAAACTAGCTAGACATTTCATATAAGATCTATTGCGTTATTTAAGCTTTACAGTATAGTACTAAATATTATAAAAAAATAAATGAACATTAAAAAACATTATATTTTACTGTAGTGTTCAGTTCATTGGATAGAACTGTTCAGACAGATATGATGATTCTAAGCAAAGGTTGCACAATACTGGATCTTTCCACTGTACAGTAATACCTCAGTATACATCATTCCAGAGCCTTTGATTTATACCAAACTAACTTTTTGAATAAGAAATAAAGGTAAAAGTTATATTGTTATTATTATAACTCCATTTGTAACTAAAATACAGATGCAATGGGTGAAATACGGGGATTGTAAATTAAATAATGGCAACATAACCTTGAAACTCACAGAAGGGCGGGCATGTGCAAATAAGATATGGGAGCGGTGAGGTGGTGCTGTTGTCGATGTGTAGAGTGCAAAAAACAGTTGATCTGCGTAGAAGAGTAGTTGTTGTGTGGCATTAAAGTGAGGAGTTTCATTTCCATCTCTAAAGCATGTTTTCAAAAGGTGATCAGCGGTTGTGGCTTAAAATCGAGGTTGCTCATGGCAAAAATGCAACAGAATGCTATTGAGGATTAGTGGAAGCCTGTGGCACAAATGCTTTACCGTATAAGGCAGTAGCACAATGGGTTCAAGCATTTCGTTTGGGTCGGAATGAAACTGCAGATTTGCAACGCACAGGTTGGCCCTCCATTCTTCAAGAGCAGATTGACATACTGAGTGTCTCCATACCATAGACCGCTGTTGGATTGTCCGAGAATTATCCTTAGAGGTTGGTCTGGGTCATCAAATGGTGTAATAATGAAGAAATCTCTCAACATGAGGAAAATTGCTTCCCGCTGGGTTCTACATTGACTAACCGAAGTACAGAAATGGCACTGGTATGCACTGGCTGGAACCCACTTGGAGAGATACCACAATGGAGGAAATGCATTTCTGCAACATATTGTCGCCATTGATAAGACATAGGCACCAGCCTGTTAGCCTGAATTAAAGCGTCAATCAAATGAATGGTGTCACCAAGGTTCGCCATGACAGGAACCTAGTCGGGTGAGGGTTATTCTGTTTATGGCATGCGACTGGGATGGTGTGATTCTTACACATGCTGTACCTGAAGGACAAACTGTCAACGCAGATTATTATTGCTGATTTCTGCAGCACCATTGGCGCAAACATCCACGTTTATTGCACAACAATCTCCCTATCGTATTGCATGACAACGCTCATTACCATGTTGCAAATAATGTCACTCTCCTTTTGCGATGGTGGCAGTGGGAAATCCTGGAGCATCCCTCCCTACTCACCCGATATGAGTCCTTGTGACTTCGATCTGTTTTCGAAGTTGAAAGGAACCCCTCCGAGGTCACCGATTTTATGACGTTTCATCTGTACTCCACACAGTAGGGCGCTCGGTCGCCCAGATCAACAATCAACACCTTGCCACTGGTCTACAACGGCTTCCCGACACTAAGCGAAAGGTGAACCAAGCCAACCTTTGCTGGTGATTACATAGAAGGAATGTAATGTAATTGTACTTGAAAGTCCATTAAAAATTGATTTGTACCTATGTTGCCATTACTTAATTTACAGCTCTCGTATTGTACGGGAATGAAATGCTGTACATAATACAGTTCATAAATGTTTTTCTGTTATTAATCTTAAAGCAATTTCTCAACATGTTCTAATATCTGATCTTTGTTTCATAATCATTACAATCCCTTGGCAATGTTAGCCTGTGTAACAGCATGTTTGTTTTTTACAGTCATAGATACTTTCATTGTTGGCATATGGTATGAATGGCCAAATTCCATATATGCAGTCATCTTTTTATTTTTCAACAATCTATTTTTGCAGTTCCTTAGTGATGTGATCTTAACCATTTTTTCAATTGCTGTACTTTCAGCACTCTCAAAAATCATTTTTAATGAATTTACAAAAAATTTAGGTGAGAAAACACAAAATCATATGAAACTTCATAGTTATAATGAGAGTTGTTTCCTCAAAAGTAGCAAAGGGCATGCTGACATTCATGGGCAGTCATAGCATAGTTTTGAAAGAGATAAACAAGGCAGTCATAGCATTGTCTTGAAAGAGATAAACAAGGCAGTCATAACATTGTCTTGAAAGAGATAAACAAGGGTGAAGCATTCAGTCATGACTCCTCAAACTTCAGTCACATTCTAAACAAATATCATATACCAAACTAAAATTTTCATATCAAAACAGGATGTATACCAAGTTGGATGTATTTCAAAATGGACATGTATCGAGGTATTTATTAACAATAGGAGATTTCTGAATAATTATAGTAGTAATGCAATAATTTTGTGTTTATACGATTTACCTATCATTTATTTAAAATTAGACTAAACAGCTTTTTCCCTCCCTTCTAAAGAAGACTTATCTGATCACCATTGAAATTGATGTGAAGTTTCATTCAAAATCTGTGCCAAGATTTAATTTAAAATTTTATACAGCTGCGTTTCTCTTCTAATTTGATGTTTGTTTCCTTTTCTGCAGCTGTTAAAAATTTCATGTGAAATCTTACAGCATTTGTTTGCTTATATCTCCAAAACTTTTAGCATTTTATGACAGATTCGTATTTATTTTACGATAGTAAATAATAAAAAGGAATTGGTATTTATATGTATTCAAGGCATGACTAACTTTTATAAATTTTTTCAAACTGCTGTCAATCTCCTAAATAATTTCCAGTACATGAAAGCAACTTAAGAAGTGAGGTAATAAGCCTTCTGAGAGAGAAACTTTATTCCCCAGCCTGTTATACAGGTTCACAGTTGTAAAGCCCTAGTAAGTATTTTTTATTTTTTTCGAATATAATTTCTAGGGATTTTCTGAAGACATGAAAATCGCTAAGTGCCAGGTCTGGTCTGTAGGAAGGATGATGTAGTACCTCTAACTGGAGGTGTCATAACAAACAGTAGGGATTTATGTAAAAGCTACGCAAGCTATGGCTTGGGGCTTTTAAAAAATTATCCTATATCCTTTATAAAAGACTCCATATCTCAAATAACTTAGGGCCTCATTCAAGTCTAAATCTGGCCCTGGTAACATATCATGCATAATAATGATAGTATAATACATATAAATACCAATTCCTTTTTATTATTTACTATCGTAAAATAAATACGAATCTGTCATAAAATGCTAAAATTTTTGGAGATATAAGCAAACAAATGCTGTAAGATTTCACATGAAATCTTTAACAGCTGCAGAAAAGGAAACAAACAAACATCAAATTAGAAGAGAAACGCAGCTGTATAAAATTATAAGGTTAGATGTTGCTATACAGTAACCGGACACCTTCTGAGCTGAATTGTGGTTGTTATTTGTGAATGCTTCATGATACCTTTAGGAATAATTTATTGGAAATACATTCATGTGTTCTGCTCTGCTATACAGTTATGTGGTGTTTCCTGTTGAGCAAAGGGAAATATAAGGAATAAATTTATGACCCAAAATGGGTCTTTAAAACTAGTGTTCTTTCAGAACTATAGCTAAGTTACTGTCTGTCTGTTTTATTTTAAACAAGATATTCCATTATTTTATTTTTCCATTATTTTACTTGTGTCGTTTGCTGCAGCATTATCCGGTAAAAGTATAGTTTAGGGTACCCCTTGGTGAAACTTGGCGGTACATGGATACCGATTTTGTGCAATTCTTTGACTCGTTATTTTGGCTTGTGAAGAGGCGATTTTTGCGCCAAAAATTGCCGCTACACAAAGCCAAAATAACAAGACAAACAATTGCACAAACTCGGTATCCATGTGCACATCGACTTATTTTCACTTAAACCCCCCAGAATTGCACAAAAAAGGCATTGTGCACTCCTTGACTTATCCATGACATGAATATTTTCACTAAAAAAAAATCCCAGAATGAACAAACTTGCATTGCGCACTCCTTTACTTGTCCATGACAATGATATTTTCACTTAAAAGTCAAAGGAGAACCCAATTCTACAATAGTATAGGCAAACAAAATACATAATCTCAATAAAATACATTAACCAAACAAAAATGCATAAAAGGAAAAACTGTTATACAGTAATCACTACCAAATCAATATCACATACCATGATTGTCGAGTTCGCTTCGTACAACAGAGCACGTAAAAATCAAATATCAATCATCTCAATGAGTTTTGTAAAAGATACTCTTCTGATTGAACGCTACATAGTGACCACTGACCTTTCTTCACCAAACCCATTCAAATCCATCTAAACGGTTTTAACACACACCACAAAAATGCTTACAAAAAATCCTAGATTCACAATCCCAATCATGCACCCGATACATCACAAGCGGGTCTCCATAACATTCATTACTAGGCTTACCATAATGAAAAACACTTGGTGATAAATCAACAACTTCACATAATCAAGGGGTCTTTGAAGCTACTCACTCCATTATCCTTGTTTGTATCAAAATTCTTCCAAGATTCCTGATTTAAGGAAATAATTATGTTTTATTAGGCCACTTTCATAGCTTTGCATGTGCAGTTACTATACAAATACGTACAAGTCGTATCCGACTGGCAGGACTTAGCGATCTGTTAGGGGTTTTTCTGGATATAGATCTCAATTTAAATCTGGTAAGCGATGCAGAATGATGCATTAAATGAAATAAAGAACAATTATTATTAAAGGATCAAAAGTACAAAAAAGAGCTAAATTTATTTGTTACTTATTAAACATTTCTTTCAATGTATGTTGTTTAAGACAACAAAAAATACAACAAAATAATAATAAAAAAAAGGAATAAATACAAATGAAAATGGTAATGTTGCCTGACTGAAGGACTGTTATAAGCATGGTTCCTTGAAAAAAAAATTATGTGCATTTATTTACTCAGGTGATTGTGATAATACTTTGATACCTTTTAATATGTAATGAAATTTTTGCTGCTGAGAACATGAAATCAATAAGTCTAAAATAATATCTTGGTGCTGAATTGATCTGTTCAACTTATTTATCTGTTGAATAAAAGTAAGTTCTTCTAATAGCATAAGCAAATTATTAGATTGAATTTGAATATAACTGTAATAAACTGAAGTAATACTTTGATTGACTTTTAAAACCCTAGAATATGAAAAACAATATTTTGGAAAATGTATTGCTGTGAACAAAAAGTATTTCTTTCATCTCATGGGGTTTCTTATTTAATTGCAAAAAATATAAAGTGCTACATTGCAAGAAAAGATCTCAAGCTGCCTGCTGCAATGAAAATGGTGGAAATATTTCACTGAAAACATTATGGAGATGAAATTCATAAAATTTCTTTATTAAATTATAGTTCCCAGCAGAATTTCTGAAATCAGTTATGATCAATTGCATCCACTCATTATTTGGTTTAAGAATACCCTAAAATTTTCAGTTAAATTGGATGAAACAACCAATATTTTTAAATTCTTGCAATTGTTAATTTACACAAGATCCGCATATGAAGGAAATATATATATATATTAATAATTTTTGTTTGGGAAAATGTATAAAAAGGAAGGATATTTATCTTTAATTTGATGAATTTTTTTCACAAATGAGGTTTTTCAATGGAAATGAGTTAGTGTCTGTGTGGACAGTGCCAAGGCAGTGATGGGTAAGAATATTGGATTTCTGCCAAAGCTGATGATAGTGAACGTGTCATCTGTACTTACTGCATGATCCATTTGTGAACAGTGTATCCAAAAAAAATATTATCAAATTTAAATGATGTATTTTGTAATGCTATTAAAGTCATAAGTTTTATAAAAAGATGAGCCCTTAACAGTAATTTGTTTTCAAATCTCTTCAAAGTGTTAAATTCCAGTTAGCAAACTTTATCGCTATATGCAGAAATATGAGGACTAATTTAGATTATTACAGTTGAAGGATGGATTTGCTGTATATTTAACTGAACATATAATTAATTTGCTTGATTTTTTTCACAATAAATTATGGCTTTTATTTATTTGTCAGATATTTATGAAAAATAAATGATTTAAACTTGTCACTTCATGGATGTAATTGTATTATATTTATGTTAAAAAAGAAAAATAAAGGTTTTGTTTAGGGAAAAAAGTGAATGTATGAAAAATAAAAAGAGGGAAAAAGGGATTCTTACAAGTGTTTAGACTATAGATGCCTTTATAATTGAAAATAACCCTTTCAAAGATTTGATTCTGTATGTTGTAGTAATCATTTGGAAAGTCTGGAAATAGTTTCTCTCAAATTTTGATTCTGATAAAAAAATTAAGTTCGTACTAAGTGAGGTTACACTTAGTTGAAATCATTAATGTCAGTCATTTCCTATTCAGAGGGTGACGAAGAATTGGCAAGTTATTGAGGGATACAAATCTAAAACTTGACTTTCTCAAAATTTTATTAAATGAATTTTGGCTGGGGATTTAGCCAAAACTTTCTAACACTTTCTCAAATAACTCCAAAAGTACTTTCAAGATTATTTACTATTTATTAAGAATTTATGTGAAGCAGTGCCTTGAGCATTGACATTTGTAAAATCCAAGCATCAGTCAATTTTAAAGAAATGTTAAAGAAACTTTACATTCTGCTATCAATTTAATCTAGGGTAATTCTTATGAAAGTAGAAGTACACTCAGCTTTTAGTATGAATACTTGATTTTGTTTGTAATGCACAGAAAATTTCTATTTGTATGTATGCAAAAGGAATTTTCTTCATGATTTATTATCAACAAATGCTTTAATTCGTATATCTTTATACCTGGAGTTGTGAAAATATTTTTTAGATAAAAAGGATTACCAAGTGGAAAAGTTTTTCTGAGAAGCACTGGAATAGAGGAATATTGCCATTTTTTAAGAATTTGAATTTGGAATGTTTGCATGCATGGTGCAAAATATGTTATTTTAATTCCAAACATCATATTCAAGTCAATTTTTTATAAAGGACATTATTATAAAACTATTATATATAATCACTTACATTTTGGTAAACATTTTATGAAATTTAACATAGGATTTTAATTTAACGGAAGATTATTAGTTTAAATACATTGAATTGAATTTTAGGTAAAAAGATTAATTTTTAAGTATATTATGCACAGCTATATTAAGAATAGCTACAATTTCTCTAAATAACCTTACATGAAAGTTATTTTTCTCTTTGTGAATCATATGTATATTTATGCTTTTGTTTTATTGTATTTTTCTAGAACATGGTTTCATTTTGGTGTTGCCGGAGGTCCACCTGGAGCAGTTGTGAAATTTCATGTGATGAACCTAAATCGGCAAGGAAAATTATATTTTCATGGCATGAAACCAGTGTTTAAAATCATACCTTCTAAAGATGACTGGAAGAGAATACCTGGGAAAGTTGATTTTAGAGTATGTTATTGATTTGTGCTCCTTAAATTTGATGATTAAAATCAAGATGCAGACATACAGCTAGTAAATTACTTAGAGAACGAGGGTTCTCAACCAGTGGTACACAAGAGAAAAATAGGTGGAAAGCAAAGTATTTTTAACTATTAAATTAAAAAATTAAAATCCCAATATTCTGATTGAGTTTTTTCTCTAACACTCGTAAATTTATGCGATATGAGCTTTGTTCAAGAGAGATTGTGGTACTAAAGGGGTACTAAAGATATTCAATTTTTGTTTAGATGTATGCATTAGTCAAAAGGCTAAGAACTGCTGTTTTAGAGTATTTGTGGTCTCTAAAATGTGCTAAGTCTTTTCTTTAAGTAAAAGTTAGCTATAGAAATAAACCATGCAAGTTTGCCATGCAAATGAGCTGATTCCCAATTAATGCTTGAAATACAGTACCAAGTCTGCAATCTGGACTCATCAAGACTTATGAAGTTCTGGATTTGGGATTTTTTCAGATTTTAGATTATCAGTTCAAATCTAGTAAGATGACATTTAGAAAGTATGAAATTAAAATTTTGAAATACACTGACAGAATGAAATTTTGGCAATGTATTTGTTTAGATAACATATTTAATTGATTAAATTTGCAAGATCACAGGTTAGCAAGAAGAGCCATTTCAAATGTGAATTACTGATACATTAATAACTGGTGTAACTGCCAGAATTTTGAATGTAATCATGCAAACATGTATGCATTGTGTAATGCAGGTGCTGAATGTCAGTTTATGGGATGGAGTTCCATGTCTTTTGTACTTGGTCGGTCAAGTTAGGGACTGTTAATGCTAGTTGTGGATGACATTGGAACCATACTTCGACTGGAGAAGGGTCTGGTGATCTAGCACACCAAGGTAATATGTCGACACTTTGTAGAGCATGTTGGATTAGAACAGTGGTATGAGTGTGAGTGTTATGCTGTTGGAAAACACTCACTTGAATGCTGTTCATGCATGGCAACAGAACAGGTTGAATTTCCAGACTGATGTACAAATTTGCAGTCTCGGTGCATGGGATATCCATGAGAGTGCTCCTGCTGTCATAGGAAATTGTCCCTCAGACCAGATAGTCCAGTGTGTTTAGGCCGCAGCCAAGTTGGTTGCAGATGCTTACTTGGCCTCCTCATAACTGACACACAGCCATCACTGGCACCAAAACAGAACTGGCTTTCATCACTGTGGTGCCAACTTGATCTTGAATTTCTGCTGCAGATGCACATTATGATGTGCCAAAGCCATATGTCGAACTTGGCGGTCTTTCCTCTCAGTAGTGCCATGTGGCTATCCAGAACCCAGTGTTTTTGAGCTAGTATCTTCTCTTGACCACTACTACCAATAGCCATACACATTTAATACATTCCTGGCAAATCTTTCTGCAATATTGAGAAAAGAAAATCAATCTTCTTATAGGCTTATTACACAACTTCACTCAAACTCACTGAGCTGTCGATAATGGCTTCTTTGTGTTCTTAAGGACATTTTTGACTAACATCAACTCAGTACGTCAAATCTCAACGATAAATAATGCTCACAAATTTTACACAAATTTGAATCTAACCTGATTTACTTGTACATAGTAGTGCAACTAGCGCCACACTAACGCGCTTAGTGCGAAATTTGAATAAACGTCATCTTTCAGATCTATGAACACATCTGCCAAATTTCGTGTATCTAGCACGACTCCTTCTTGAAGTTGTGATTTTTTTTTTTTTTTTTGTCAGTGTAGTTGTTTCTGAAATAAGGATGCATTTATGACTTTAAGAAAATCAAAATTTACAGCCCCCAATAGATGTCATTATTATAATATTTATTCGTTTGCTTTATTAAACATTTCTTTCATTGTTAAGGTGCTTAATTTTTTGTGCCATTATCTTCTCTTTAATTTTATAGATACTCATAATTTCTTATTCAGTTAGAAAGTTCCATTGTTCATGTCCTGTAATTACCATGTTAAGAATTCCCACGAAATTGTCACTCGAAATTTTTTCATGCTTAGCAACCTATTTGTGCCTATCTTCAGTACCGGTAGTGATATTTTCTGAATTTAGAACATACTACAGATTTTGCCATCCATTTGTTGTTTGATTATTAGTGCATTGCCATCACAATGGAATCCATTAATCAAGAAATTTCAGTTTTTGTTTTCAATATCCAAAGACTTTCAAATTCACGGGTATCATCACAAGTATTCATCAGTAGTAAGCATCCACTATACACTATTGGCGACTAGAGACATGTTATTCTGCTAAAATTTGTGTTGCTAAGTATCTAACCAAGTTATCCAAGGTTAAGGTTTTTCACCATGCTCATTAGTTGGAGATGTATTTTTTCTTCATCTTCATCTGTTTTATTGTGTATTTAAAGGTTGCTATGCTTAAAACAATTTTGTCTCATCTTTTCTGAGTTGCAGTTCCAGGACATGTATTTGGGAGATTTATTATTTCAAAAAATTTAGTTTTTCTTATTAATAATATTCACTTATATCTGCATTTTTTATGTTAAGGAGGATTTTATTCATATCATGACAATAATATCTTATACAGTCTGTCACAAAAAATATATGTAGCCAGTAGGAAATGAACTACTATCTTGAAACTTAACATGCATATAGTGTATGACGAGATAAACAAATGATTACAAAATCAGATCAAAAAATCATTTTATTAAGAAGTTATGGCATTAAAAAGGCTACAAATCAGTAAGTAGTATAGCCACCTCTAGCAGCTATATGAACTGAAACACAGTGTGGCATCAAATCAAGTAGGTCACGTATGACCCTCTGCGGAAGATCATGCCATAATCTTTGCAATTGAGCAGTTAATTCACCAATATTCTGGCAAGGCTGCAGTTACCTTCTAAGCATGTCCCAAGCATGCTCTATTGGCAAGAGATCTGGTGACTTGGCATTCCAGAGAGTATGTCATATCCTTGACGACATTGTTGGGAGATTTGTGCAGTATGTGAATGAGCGTTGTCGTGCTGATAAATGGCACCTGGGCAATTTGATAGCATAGGCAGTACAAGTGGCATTAAAATGTCATCCATATAAATGTGAACCATCATAGTGCCTTGAAAGACAACTAGAGGTGATTGTGTGTCCCAACAAATCACTCCTCACGCTGTCACACACTGTATGCTGCTTGAGAAAAAATGCCAGATTGGACTGCTGACCTGGCCACCTCCATACGTGTGTACCTTGGTCATAAGCATTGAAACTGAATTGGGATTCATCGCTGAATATCACATGCCTCTAGTCAGTCACACTACAGCTTGCCCGAGTTCAACAAAAATCCATTCAATACTGCCAATTCAATACTTTGGATACTATAAATGTTTATAACCTCACCATATGCTTTACGCAGTGCATCTCTGAACTGAATAGAAAAGCTAATTTTAAAGTTTCTTAAGCCTGTCGCATGCATGAAAATATTTCTGATAAAACTTGTGTAGACTATATCTGTCGAGCAATCCTACCGGAATCTGAACTTTTCAAGTTGTGTGCTACCTCACTTCAGGGTTAACTGTGATATTTTGTTAAACAGTAGAAATAGTTTGCCATTTGTTAAATCCGCTGTTAGTAATAAGCATAAAAGTGATAATTCTGACTGTATTATTGATTATGATGATAATTTTCTAAAGTCCACTAAGAAAGTTAAAGCCACTAAATGTAGTAATCATAAGCCTTCTATTTTATTGTAAAATAGGTTTACAAAGTTAAATATAGACTCTGCTTCTACATGTAATAATGGCAGTACTGTATCTAATGTTGTGTCTGATGTTGATAATGTTCATCCGAGTTCTAATAGCTCTAGTATTAATGATAAACAGGGCAAAGCTCCACCCATTATGGTCAAACCCCAGCAGGGTATTACTTAGTATGCTTTTTGAAAGCCCTATCTGACACAATACCAGAGTGCAGGTTTTTTGGTCGCCTGAGCAGTGAGTTTTTGAAAGTTAAACTGAATACCCAGAATGATAATAGAACCCTGAGTCTCTTTAGATAATTTAGTCGAACATTTTGTTGTTAACCTGCGCCACAAAAAACCAGTTAAGGTACTTATACAAGGATTACCCTCCAACTCAGATATTAATATTATTAAAGACTCCCTTACTGATTAGGTTACAAAATGCATAAAAATTGTACAGCTAACCAAATGCAAAATGAAGGCGACCATGCCATTATTTCAAGCACAGCTTATTCCTGAAGGAGAATGTAGATGAAATATATAGTTTAACTCATCTTATGTTATTTGGAATCAAAGTTGAAAAGTATGTTTTTAAAAATCAGGTCCTCCAATGTCACAATTGCCAGAAATGTCACCATTCTTCCAAGAATTGTCATGTTGCACCACAGTGTGTAAAGTGTGCAGGCCATCATCGAACTGGTAACAGTGACCATCAGGGGCACCTGGATACTCCCAAGTGCGTGAATTGCCCAAGTCCTCACGTGGCCTCCTATAGGGTTTGTGCCCTCTAGGAGTTCCCGTCATATAAAAAGTTCCCATTGTATAAAAAATGTTTTCAAAGTTCCACCATAAAACCTGGTGTTGCGATGTAATGTGAATGAACTCGATACACAACCTCGTTAGGAGTTCCCATCATATAAAAAGCTCCCATCATATAAAAAATGTTTTCAAAGTTCCACCATAAAACCTGGTGTTGCGATGTAATGTGAATGAACTCGATACATGACCTCGTTTTTAAGCACGAAACTTATATTAAATAATTGCACAATACAAGTATAAACAAGAAAATGACATATAAAACGTATAAACACGATAACACAACAAAAATAGTGACAAATAGACAGCATTCCAGCTGCCTTGCGAATGCGTTCGTCTGAGTCTGACAGTTCAACTGAATTAAAATGTTCTTTGGCATAGTTCCAAATGCGAAAAAGTCAGGTTGAGTTGTTCTGTTCTGGTGCACCGGAACACCTGGAATAAGCTATGCTCAAGTTGA